CCCCCCCGAATAACCCCTTCACCGGTGCGCCCCCTTCCTGGAGCACCCCTTCCACAGAGCACTCCCTCCTGGTGCACCCTCTCCCCAGTGCACCCCTTCTTCTGTGCACCCCATTCCTGGTGCACCCCCTCCCTGGAGCACCCCTTTTCTGGTGCACCCCCTTCCCGGAGCACCCTATTCTCCAGTGCACCCCTTTTCCTGTGCACCCCTTCCCTGGAGCACCCCCTCCTCAGTGTACACCTTCTCCTGGGCACCCCTTCCCCAGAGCACCCCTTTCCTGGTGCACCCCCTCCCCAGCACCCATCATGGGGCACCCACTGGGCAGGTGGGGAGATGCAGGTGTCCTGGACCTGGCAGGTCCTCCCTCCCCAGGCACAGGGTGACATCCCCAGTGGGGACTGTCCCCAAGTATGGGCTGGGTGGGGGCCCCAATACCCATGAGGGAGGGACCCCCAGCAGGGACAGCCTGAGTGTAGTGTCACTGGTGTCACCAGTGTCCCTGCATGGCCCCTGGTGTCACAGGTGTCCCTGTCCCTGCACGGTCCCTGGGGTGTGGCACGGTGTCACTGTCACTGCACGGCCCCCGGGGTGTCACACAGTGTCGTCATGGCTGCACAGTCCCACTCGTGTCACCTGGTGCTGCTGCGCAGCCCTGCGGTATCACACAGTGTCACTGTTGCTCCCTGGGGTGTCACACGGTGTCACTGTCACCGCACAGTGCACAGGGTGTCATTGTCACCGCGGGGCCGCCAGGTGCCACACAGTGTCACTGCAGCTCCCGTGGGTTGTCACACAGAGTAACCATCAGTGCCTGGTGCACGGGATGTCACACAGTGCTGTGTCACTGCATGGCCCACGAGGTGTCACGCAGCGTCACTGTCACTGCTGTCCCGCAGTGTATCACCCAGTGTCGCTGTCGCCACGTGGCCCACGGGGTGTCACCGGGTGTTATTGTCACTGCATGGCCTGGGGTGTCACACACTGTCACTGCACAGGATACACCCCAGTGCCACCCCCTGCACATCCCGTGGGTTGCCACCCAGTGTCACTGCGCATCCCCCAGCTGTGTCACACGCCGTCCCTGCCAGCCGTGGGGCACCCTGGGGACAGCCCCGCAGGTCCCAGCAGCCCAAGTCCCCGCTAATCCCCACCCCACGTCCCCGAGCCTGTCCCCTCTGCCCAGTGGCCCCATGGCTGGACCCGGCTGCCAGGCGAGCAGCCACTTCCATCACTCACCAGCCCACCCCATCAGCCCAGCTCTAATTAAGTAGCCGTGTTGGCAGCCCTTAATTGCCGCACGGCGGGAGGGTGGCGGCCCTGCCGTGTCCGTAATGAGAGGCAGCGTGATGGGGACAGGGACGGGGGGGATGTGCCGCCCCCACCTTTTCCCCCCGCCTGCAGCTGGGCTCCCCTCACTGGGCAAGGGACAGTGCCTGCCATTGGGCTGGGGGTGCTGGCATGTCCTTGTCCCCGAGGCCAGGTCTAACCCAGCTGGCCAGTTAGCCAATCAGCCTGCTGCTGGCCAGCCAGCAAACCCCCTGGGTCAACTGGCCCTCCACCAGCCAACTGGTCAACTGGCCAGCCAATCAACCAGCTAGCCAAACAGCCTGTTGGTCAACTGGCCAGACAGCCAGCCAACCAGCCATCTAGCTAACAAGCCAGCCAGGCAATCAACCAGACAGCTGGCCAGCTAGCCAACCAACCAGCCAGCCAGTCAGCCAACCCACCATCTACCAACCAGCCAACCAGCTGGTTGGCCAACCAGTCAGCCAAGCAGCTGACCAGTCATCTACCTGCCAGCCAGCCAACCAGCCATCTAGCTGTGCAGCTAGCCAGGCAGGCAACTGGCCAACGAGCTGCCCAAGCATCCAACTAGCCATCTAGCTGTGTGGCTAGCCAGGCAGGCAACTGGCCAACTGGCCAATGAGCTATCCATGTGTCCGACCAGCCAGCTAGCCATCTGGCCACCAGCCAGCTACCCAAAGAGCCAGCCAGCCAACCAGCCAGCGGGCAGGCAGCCAACCAGGAGCACCATCTGCCCCTGTCGTGGCGGGTGCTGGGACCCGCCTCGCCCTTGCCTCTGTCCTGCAGCCCTGTCCCCAGGTGTCCCTCATCTCCTGGGCTGGGTGTTGAGTGGCACGTCCCTGCTGCCCTGCTGAGGCCTGACACACTCATCACAGCAAGCAGGGCACTGGACACCTCCCAGCCCAGCCCTGGCCAGAGGCACCTCCAGCCCTGAAGGGTTTGACCCCTTTTCTCCCCAGCCTGGCACCAAGAGGCAGGTGTTGGCTCCTGCTGGGATCATCTCCACCTCAGGATGGGTCCATGGGGCTGCGCTGACCTGTGCTGGTGCCACCTCTCCCTGGGCACAAACAGCCTGGAAAACTCCTTGGGAATGCCTCCTTTTAATGATCTCCCTCCTGGCAAGGTGGCCGTGGTGCCCTGTCCCAGGGATGGAGGATGGAATGATGGGTGGATGCCATCAAGGCAGTGGGAACCAGCAGGGGAAGCCCCAGGTGGGAGCTCAGCAGACCTGGCTGCCTTCCCAGCAATGCCCCAGCATGTGCAGCCCAGGCTCCCATTGCCCTGCGGGGTCCTGCCCACCCCGGCCAGGGGCTGAGGGCCCAGCCCTGCCCTCACTGCTCACAGCTCGGTGTCTCCCTCCCACAGCCCCTTCTGGGCAACACCCTGAGGACACGGCATGATTTTGCAGGACAGCACCCAAAATCATCAGGGACAGCTTGCCAACACCAGCTCCCTCCCTAGGCTTGTCCGTGTGGGCCAACATTGGGTTCGTTAGTTATTTCAGGCTCTGAGTCCTAATTACTGTTGCTCAGCAGGGGCTGGGCAGCAGGTGCCAGGGTGCCACCCGGGCATAGTGTCCCCAAGACACCATGTCCCCCCCAGCGATGCGTGGTCCTACGGGCAGCATCTGTGGCGCAGCTGCAGAGCAGGTCCCGCCCTGCCATAGTGTTGGAAGGGGAAACTGAGGCACGGAGCAGCACTGAGCCCTATGAAAGCCCCTGGCCTGGCCTGGCTGCTCTCACCCTTCCCCAAATCCCCCTAATGAGCTCCCCAGTGAGCAGCAGGCAGGGAGAGGGGGAACATCCACCCCCCAGGCTGAACCTGTGCCCCGCAGCATCAATCAGGGCCCCCCCCGGCATCGCCCACCCACCTCCCCGCGTCACACTGCCAGAGCAAACAGCCGGGGGCTCGGCTGCGCATCGATTCTGTGAGAGCTGCTGTTTGCTCAACCTTTGCAGAGGAACAGCAGCGGCTGGCGTCGAGCAGAGCCACAGCCGCAGACGCAGCCACTGCAGCCCCCGCTGCCACCGCAGCCACTGCTGTCACCGCTGCTGCTGCTGTCACCTCCAGGCTGTGTCCCTTGTCCCCCTCCTGCTATCACAAATGTGGCCCTTTGCAGATTTGCCATCAGTTGTCTGTCACCAGGTGGACAAAGCTGGTTCTGAGCCGGCTTGAGGGGTTGCACTGTACCCCTCCCTCTGCTGGGGTTGGGGACAGGGACAGGGACCACCTTGGGGCCTCCAGCCAGGGTCACTGGGGGTGTTGTCCCAACCCATAGGGTACTGCTGCCCCAGGGTGGTAGTGAAGCCATCACGGCTCTGTAGCCAGGCTGCAGGGACATGGCCGGGGACGTGGTGGCCTGGGGTGGTGGCCGTGCCATGGGTACAGTGTCGACTGTGGCAGTAAGGTGGCCTGGGAGTAGGACATGATGGCTTGGGGGGGGAAGGAAACCAGGGCTGGCGACCATGCCATGGGGACATGGTGACCATTGGTGGTGAGATGTTCCGGTCCGCTGGCCGTGCCTTGGAAACATGGTGACCCACGGTGGTGAGATGTTCCGGTCCGCTGGCTGTGCCATGGGGACATTGTGACCCACATTGGTGAGATGTTCCGGTCCGCTGGTCGTGCCATGGGGACATGGTGATCCACGGTGGTGAGATGTTCCAGGCCGCTGGCCGTGACATGGGGACATTGTGACCCAAGGTGGTGAGATGTTCCGGTCTGCTGGCCGTGCCATGGGGACATGGTGACCCACACTGGTGAGATGTTCCGGTCCGCTGGGCATGCCATGGGAACATGGTGACTCACGGTGGTGAGATGTTCCGGGCCAGTGGCCGTGCCATGGGAACATGGTGACCCATGGTGGTGAGATGTTCCGGTCCGCTGGCCGTGCCGTGGAAACATGGTGAACCACTGTGGTGAGATGTTCCGGTCCGCTGGCCGTGCCATGGGAACATGGTGACCCACGGTGGTGAGATGTTCCGG